CGTTGCTGAAGGGCTTGCTGCTATGCTGAAAATGTCGGCCTTCTAAACTAGCGTTTGGCTAAGTGGACGCTTATGGGTGAGGATGTTTTTCAAAGGAATAACACAAAACACTATGGAACTACACTTTAGATCAGAAGAAGAGAGCTGAGTGAGGGATCAAAAATACTCTGAAGTTACCACAGCTGAGTACATTCAGAAAGATAGCCATGTAGTAGTTGCAAGATGTGCCGCGGGATTATCAAGCAAAAAATTTGCCTTACATTATATCTAACCAGCAAATCAACTTCTACATGAATCTTTACAGACATCCAAATTTGCATAATCAATGAAGGACTATACCAAACTCAGGCAAGACACTGTGAGAACTCACAGATGCATGCATTGAAAGCCAAACCGCAAAGAGAAGATACACTGCGGAGCAGCCCTGGAGTCCAGCCACTGCTGTCAATGAAGAAGATATTGGATGAAGAATAGTTGAAATACGATTGCAATGCCTGAGGATAAAACCTACATCAAACTCCGCTTGAGTCAAAGATGCTCAAAGGATCTTCAATCCCAAAACGGAGAAAAACATATTGCTCACTGCGTCTCCCTGCCACGTCCATGCCTGCGAAACATAGTAGAAACCTTGCTGCAAAGCTGCCACAAGGAACCAATCTTGTGCAGTGAATACTTCAGGTTTCAGGTCTTTGGTTATTTTATCATTTCAACAAAAAATGCAGAGATGCTGCATGGTGACACGAAAGCACCCAATCATAAGAGCACCTCATCTCGGATGAGTTCTCATGTCAACTTTCCTTATTTGACCCTCCCTAATTCGTTTTTGTGGATCTATGTCGTTCTTCTGCCATGGCGCATAGCAGGAAAGGTGGCACCGCCGCTTCAAAGAAACCCTCGCAAAAGAAGATGCAAATCCTCAGACGCACAAACTTCATCAAACACCTCTCGTGACATTTGTTCGATGCAGTTCAAACAGGTACATGGCACTTTTCAACTCGGACCTCTATCAGTGACGAGACTTCAAGTCCACTCTGTTGAGTTACAAATCAATACAAATCAATCGTTCGCTCCGGAAGTCAGCGAATCAAGCCTTGGAAAAAATATTTTCGTTGGAAATTATTTGAAGAGCCGACGGAAGCAGGCCCCGCACTTGCAGCTGGTCTCGCATGCAACATGAATGTTCTAAAGCAAAAAAGGGACACAAAAAAAACTGCTGTGGCGAAAGGAAATCGCCTCAATGAGGCTCAGATCAGGTCGATCTCAACAGATTGGGTAGAAGAGCTATGAACATCTATGAAACTCAGTCAGGCCTTTGTTTGAATCCATAAATTTTCAATTTTCACCCTCTCCGTTGGAGAAATTCAGCAATTGGAGTTCAGAATCATTTTCAGAAATAATGCGCCCACGAGGTGGTACAGATTCATCTTGCTGGTCGTCAGTTCTACCTGAGCTAGAATGACAGCGCAGTGTCGGCAAAAAGAATTCATCCACTCTGGGGTAGTGCAGGGTTTCCCTGTTGCCCTCGTTTGAATGTCCAGAGAAACCAATGAACGAAAGTTGGGAAACCACTTCAATGCTTGTACTGAAAGCAGCGCGGTCAATTTAAGTGCCTAATGCTGAACATTACTGTTTTTGTTCATTGTTTGATGACTGTGGGGACCTACCTACCTAACTAAGTAATGTGCGAAACGTAAATATGTGCAGATGATATTTGCATAAACATACGAGTCTGTATATTTGTAGACATATGCATGCATATATATATATATATATTTATTTATTTATTTATATTTATATATATATATTTATATATAATATATACAGTTAGACTGTTGCTCCCCCGTCTTTCCTATCTACCCACCCAGATTTTAATACAACAAAATTCTATGGGGTAAATACTAAAGGCAGGGGGCAACACCTTATAGAAAACAATGATATAAACCATAACAAACAAATAAAACAAAAAAACAAAACAACATAGACAAAACAAAAGGCTATAAAACAAACTATACCATAAACTCTAACTACCCCACCTTGCCCATCTTTCCTAGCCATTCACTGGCTACATTCTGGACAACGACACCATCTTCGAATGGTGCGACCAGCCTGTTTGCTGACTGGGTGGGGTGGATTTGCCAAGTTGTCTTGAAGGCTTGACTTTTGGTCAGAAATTCAACCAGAGCATTGAGCAAGTGATGATTTGCCAACTTATTGTTTTTCTCCACAGTGCGTTTTGCTACTCAAGTCTGTTTTGCCATCTGTGCTTCACTTCTTTCTTTCGCTTGTTGCTATGGCTTTCCCTATGGCTTCCCCTATGTCCTTGGAACTTGGTGAGTGGAGTGATGCTGACAGCATTGGTGAAGTCAGTGCTTACGGCAATGCCTCGGTGTCTTCGGGAAGCACCTGTGCTTCAGATGTTGAGTTCTTTGGAAACCGTCAGAGTCAGAGGCAATACCTTCTTGGTCTTTTGTCCAGCGATGAGGAGAGTGAAACCAGTGAAGAGCCCATAAACTTCATCCAGTTGGAGGACAACATCTTCCCCTTTGAAGTTCATACGCACCCACTTTATGCTTCAGACATTTACCAGTCCATTCAAATAGTGGTAGTGAAGGCTATGTTGGAATTTCAAAACAAAGGGCTTCTGTCACGGGATGTGTCCTACCAGCACTTTATCTTGGATGTGATGGATGGCTATGTATCACCCTCACGGAAGCCAGACAAAAATGTCCGACTATCTCCACGACCTTGATTTGGACACCTTCACCTTGACCTACTACCCGCCCTTTGAGGTTCAGTTGGTCTTGGTTGGTGATGACCGACGCAGGGTGAAGGAGAACTTCAGTGGGTTGGCTGATGTTATTGGTGTCAAAGGCATCTTGGCTTCTGAAGTCTTTTCAGGACTTGTTGAGCAGGATGACATCCGACTGTTCTACAAGGGTGATGAACTTGAAGATGACACCGAACAACTCCGTGATGTCTTCGGTTTGACTTCCAACATTGCCGACCCCTACGGCTTGTATGAACTACAGGTGATGTTGAGAGGTCGCGGTGGTGGCAAATCCACTGACAAGCCCAAGGAGAAGTCGTTGGTGAAACAGGCTTTGGTCTTTGGTGAAAAAAATGACCAAGAGAGAAGAATACCAGAAAGCCTGTGAGAACATCAACCCGACCGCAATGACACCAGCCACTGTTTCGGTTGATGAAACTGTCAAGACTGTCAAGGCTTGGTTGGCGTATCTTGCTTCCATCAGTGATGACAGCAGTAGCACCAGTTTGGTTTCATCCGCCATTGATGCGATGAACTTGGAGATGTTGAAGGAATGTTCAGTCATTCTTGCGCCCAAGGAGAACGGTGAGAAGGACAACAAATACAACGGTGGAGAGAGCAAGTTGGAGGCTGTTGTGAAGTTGTTGCTTCAGGGGCAACTTACCAAAATCAAATCCCACGAGGAAGAATTACAGTCCTTGAAATCGGCTTTGGTGCTGAATATGGTGCGCTTGTGTGTCAATGTTTCTTCAACTTCCTCAAGGGTGGAGACAAGGCGCATCAACGAACTCGTTTCAGCCCGTATTCTGAAATTGAGTGGTGTGTCTGCCAAACCGCCCAAAAAGGGTGATGTTGAGATGGAAGGTCTGACAGACTTGTTTGGAAGAACAAAGATTTAAAAAGCCTGTGGGGGTTTTAACCCCCACTTTTGGCTCAATTTTGATTTTAAATGGAGGAAAGCACCGATGCTGACCTTCGAAAATTGCCTATTTAATGTGGCAAGTTCCGCAACAATGCCCGAGGTGATATTTAATCGCAACTTGACATTTAATCACAATCAAGGGCAGTTTTTGATGAGCAAAATATATGTAAAGCCCGTGTTTCAATATGGGGGTGCTCATCATTGTCATTCTCCCCTTTAAATAAAAGGGGGCTGTTTCAGTCCATACAGACCTGTCAGAGCAAAGAAAAATGGCAGTTTGATGGTGCGTGAAATTGAACTCTACCAAGGGCCTTAGTGAAGATATCACCTCGTTGTTCCTTAGTTGGTGTGTAGACAGCGGTGATGAGACCTTGGTTGACAGCCTCAGCCAACGAAGCAACGCTGATTTTGTGGGTCCTATTTAGAGATTTCAGTTTGGGGCTAAACCCGTTTTGCAATATCGTCATTACTGCACTATTGTCTTCCCTCAAAGTAGTAGTGACCTCACCTCCCAAGACCAATTCAATTACCGTTTTGATTGGGACACCTTCTTCGAAGACCAAGACTGACGCAGAAACAATTTCAGCTTCAGTGGTGCTACGTGAAACACATGCTTGTTTCTTTGCCCCCCAATAAATCGGAAATGCAGTACCATGGTCATCTTGTATGATCACATAATGTCCACTGTGCGATTTCATGGTCATGGGATCCCCGGCAAGATCAGCATCTGCGAATAAATCCAAACGAGGAATTGAGTGGTTTGCAGAAATGGTACCCAAGACTCCTAGGTCAACAGAACCCTTGACGTAACCAAGTAAACGGTACAACATCAGGTCATGATTTCGGGTCCATCTGGCAATGTGTGACGCCAACGAAGTGATTGCAAAGCTAATGTCAGGTCTAGACAACCTGGCAAGCCAAAGCAACTTCATGAGTAGTTGGGCTGCTTTCCCGGACAGCTGACCGGGTTCCTCATATCCTTGGGGTGTCAAGGTGGCCTCAGACACGAAAGTGGTTTCGTACACTTTCAACTTTTTACCAAATTGGTCTTCATACAGTTGATATGATGACACGGCGTAATCACACATGGACATGTAAATTTGACGCCCCCCAAACTCAAAGATGAGGTGATCGCGGCCCAAATACCTACCGGGTTCTTCGATGGTGTCGACAGTAATATACTGTGATAGCATTTGCCAAAACATTGGGACGGACTCTTGCGGCCCTGCTACTACCAGGTCGTCTACATATGCCGCTACTAATACATTGAGTGGTTTGATGTGCCACAAGGACGGCCAACCTTCGACCTGGTCACCTTGAAGTCGGATGACTACAATTTCGTCCAAGTACTGGGTCCAATCGTCCCCAGATGTGGGATGTCCGTACATGGCTTTCAACAGCCTTGCCGCAGCCCTTCTTTTTGCGATGCCATGAAGGTTGCCATGCCTCTCTAGGAAGGATTACATACGTTGGAGTCTCTGATCGAATCGGCGCCTGAAGGTATGCCTTTCGTGCATCAGCAATCTGAACTATGTTGTTGACCCTCAAACCATACCAAAGCACCAAGTTTATAGTAGCTATGGTCGCCGGTATCGACTTCAACTCCCGAAACAAAGCCAACTGGTTGTTTTCGTCTCTTGCGCCGTCGCCTCTGAACACAAGTCTGACTTTCAGTTTTGCCTTATCCTTTGATTCGGAATTCTTTATCGATCCTATAGGCATGGCTTCTGCTATGTGCACCTTCCATCCTTCTTTGCGGGCCTGGGATCGCAACTCCTCAACTTCATGCACGTCATCATCGTCCCAAACCTGAAGAAGCCTCATTTCATCAGCCTCCTCTTTAATTTTGTCTTTGCCTTGGGGATGACTGAAAAGCTCCTGACGTGATAGAGGCGTGTGAACCATTCCCAACACTGTCTGTGCCATCAGCAAACCTCGCTCTTGGTGAGCAACAGATCCATGGGTAACTGGCATAGCTGGCACTGCAGTGAATGCCATTTCGGGGTTCAACGCAGACAATATTGCAACTGCCATCTTGGTGTTGTAAACCCCAGACTTTCTAGCCATTGTTCCCCCTTCAATTGGATCGTGCTTAAAACTATGAGGATGTGGGCACCGAAACCTGTTCAAGTGAGCAGCAAATCTCTTTGATGTGGTGACAATACGCCATTCCTTGAGGGGATATTTCCCATCAATCTCCAAACCCATCCCGCAGCCCGAGGGGTAACATGAATACATGTTGAAGTGGATGATCATTTCTGTGATTTGCTCTTGTTTCCACCCCCCATTACGTAATGGCCATTCAAAAGACGACGAGCCCCCCGATTCCAAGGCCACTTCACTCAGTTGACAAAAGTGGTCTACGAGGATTTCTGTTTCCGCCCTCTTCCCAGCCAAAGCCTGTTCATATTCAACCCCTTGGACTGCCAAGCTCAAGTTTTGAAGTGGTGAGTAAGGAGCGCATGGTATAGAACCGTACAAATCGATGGTTTCCCCTTTGGCGGCTGTTTCCTGAAACCAGAACATGACTTGATCAATGACCATTGGATCCTTTAAATCCCCAAACTCCTCTGACAAACCGAGATATGGAATGGAACATGCTTCTGAAACACGACAACAAGCACTATTAACAGAACAACAGAATTCAACAAACCATTTCTTGGAACCTTTCTTCTTTTTCTTTGGGGGTTGGGTGCATGAATGCAACACGTTGGCAAGTTTGGCTGACAATTCTTCCTCAATCCCCCTCCCTTCGTCCAGTTCCTTAAGGTAAATTGACGCTACTACCTCAGGACCAACCTCCAGTTCCATCGCTGAGAGCTCTTTGCCAGTGACAGGGGTTGACAGGCCGAAGAAATCCTCCTCGGCCGCCGTGGTCTCAACGGCCTTGGGAACTTCCTCTTCTGCATCTTTTCCCCTGGCCCTAGGCGGCTCGACCTCGTCCAAGAGTTTATTGAACCTGCTCCTACATTCGCCAGAGTGGGAGTAAGTTCCTTCTTTACAACCATCACAACCAGGTGTTTTGCCGTAGATTGCAATCCTAAGTGGGGTTACGGGTCTGTTTCTTCGGGGTTTAGGTTTCTCTTCGGTCGGGCCTCCCGCGCCAGGCGCTGGGTCGTCCCTCCCGACTGAGTCCCAAAACTCTTTGCAATCTTTGTCGTTGAGGTCATGTGATGCAATGGACGGAGAGTATCCTTCAGAATTACCCCCATCCAATACGTCAAGTTCCTGATCTGCAATTGGATCCAACGCCGGGACTGATTGTGGTGTCAAAGCTGCAAATTTCCATTGGCCATTGGGGATAGCGATAGTTCGTGAAACGTGTTCCTTGAAAACCCCACTCTGGAATTGCTCAAGGGGCCAAACTCTATAGCATCCCTTGAACAACATCCCATCGGTCAATTCCGCTCCCAAAAACAAAGCAGGTTCTCCTTTGGGACCATATGAGTATGGGTCAGGATCTTTGTACCACACCAATGCACCAAAGGGTACCATGAAACAATCGATTGAGTATCCCATGGCTTTCTCATACCGGGACAAGTTTTCTTCTGAATCCGTTTCAATCCCTCTGGCTGGTGCGGTGATGTTGTAAGCCCATTCCAAATACTTCTGAGCAAGTGGCCAGTATTGAAGTTCAATTCCTGAATGGATCAAAATGGAGGATGTCATGCCCGTGATTGTCCTAATGGTTGATTCAGCCAACGCATTCTTAATCTTTTGATACGGCGCCGCCGGCTCGCTCGCGAATCCAAGATTCCTCAAGGCACTTTTGATCTCGGGCGCGCGGTCAGAGACCACCTGAACGATCCCTGGCCGTTTCTTCCCACAGAATCTGCGGAAAGCCATTTCCACTTCTTCTGCTGTTTTGTGCTCGCACGGAACCATAGACGTGAACCCGGAAAACACATCAACCATGACAAAAGTACATGTTTCCCCTTTATGCCCAATCTCATCCCTGACAATGATGTGATCGACTGACAACTTCTCCAAAAAGAACGTTGGGGCTTCAACCATTCTTGCTTCTTTCATATTCTTGCTTTGGTTTTCAGCTCTTCTATGGGGTTGTTCGTACAGTTTCGCCCGTTTACACGTGTCACAACTCCTGGATTTGGGAAGATGGGTAATGAGGTGATGACATGGGACCCCTTCTACTTCATCTTCCTCTTCCCCTTCCTTGATTTTCCCTTGGTCGTCTTCTCTAGGATTACCGTGCTCCACTTTTTCACTCATGCCACCCGCGCCAGGCACAGGGTTGACATGTTCCTTTCCTCTGCTGCCCGCGCTAGACACAGGGTCAGCAGCGTCCTCGAACACGTCCTCCAGTGAGGGGCTGTCGCCACCCCCCCCAAGGGAAACATCAGGATGGGAACCTTCTGACATGGCTGGTAAACCTGGAGTGCAATCAACTGACAAACGAAAAATGGGAACATGATGCTCGATTCGATCAGCTTGATTAGTGGGACCATCCACATCAAAGTCAAATGACGTGGTGGGTGGGACCAACATGGGCAAGTGGGAAGGATGCCAAACAAATGAGTATCCAGCTTCTTCCACTAATTGTCCAATGGAAAGTGCAACAGGACATTGAGGTAACAAGTAAAAATTGCTCATCCTTTGAAATTCTGATGACCAAAATCCTACCGTGGAATCACCACATCTTTGACCGCCCCCCGTAAGAAATCTGACCGGGTTGCTCGTCTGCGTGACGAACTGGTCGACATCCAACCCCTGCCGTCTGAGTGCCTCCACGGATGCAAGGTCCTCTCCTGCACCAGTGTTTCCAACCAACTCGAGGTACTGCGCCGGCGTGGACGACAGTGCTGTGGCTGCAGTTGGCGTGGCCAAGATTGCCACTGCGGCCGCTTTTGCAACTAACCCAGGTCCTGATGAGGCCTTAGGTTTGGGTTGTGGGGTAGTTGACACAGCATGACTATATGGGCATTGGTTTCCTCGCATGCAACGATTCTTCATGAAGTATATGCATGGCGATTTGGCCTTCTCATCGGGTGTGAGGGGCCTGGTTTTACCTTTGCCCTGGTCTGTGGGTCCCCCTTTAGTCGAAGGTCCTGGCTTTTCCTTGGGCTTGGCTTGTGCACCCTGGTTGCCTGAACCTTTCCCAGTTCCACCTGTAGAACCTTTACCTGTCTTGTTTGGGTTGGTTTTCGTGTCCTTAGTTTTGCCATCACCTTTGGTGCCTGGCATTGCAGTTCTCTTACCCTGTGGTCCCCGTTTCAAGTCGTCTCTAACCGACTGAGCATTGGCACCATATTGAGCCTCCAACAAAGCTTTTTCAACTCCTTTCCAAATGGCATCAAATGAGCGGTGATATGAGCCCAGTGCAGAATCATGATACTTATCTATGACACGGCGCAACAATGGATGCTTCTTGAGAGTGGTGTAGATCCATTGACTCATGAGTTCTTCCGTTGGACGTTGATTCAACGGTAGTTGACTCAGGATGTACACAACTTTGTCATACCAATGTTTGAGGGCCGAAGGTGAATCCTGGGGTGTTGGTAATTGGAACAACTCCAACGAACTGGTGATTGCACTGGCCGCGGCCGATGTGTCAAACTCCCTTGAGACCAAGTTGATGATGTAACGTCCCGGATTTGATTCCCCGACGACTCACATGATTCAACATAGCTCTGAATTCTAAGCCCAAATGATGTTTTGAGGGATTCTTGTTTGCACAGAACGGATGCCATGATACGATCCAGTCTTGGAAAGTCACCTGACTGAGTCCTTAGTAAGTCGGCCTCTGCGTCACGAGCAGTAAATGCTGGTGACAGCCATTGGCTTACCAAACCTTCCTGGCTGTGATCATACGACAAGATCATCGTTCGGACTGAATTCTTCCACGATCGGAATTGACTTGCTGATTCCGGTAGTTGAGGTAACTTCAAGTGGTGAAGGTCTTTAGTTCTCAAGCATCTTTTCTCTAGTTCTTGGACACTCATTTGAGACCCATCTTGAGACCCACGATCTTCCCGGTCATCCGCAAACAATTGGAACTCATTTCCGCCCTGTGTATCTTGACCGTCCAAACGAACAACTGGTGTTTGCCCACCCTCTTGTTGAACTTGAGGAATTGGTGGTTGATGCAACCATAATTCTTGGATGTATTCCTGATGGGTATCCATTTTGGTTTCCAATCTTTGAAGTTGCATTTCAATGCCAGCTAATCGTTGAAAGATCAAATTAAACCCCGCACCATTAACAGCTCCATGATCTCCTGCCCTCTTAGAATCTTCCATGACTTGATTCATTTGTTGTTTGATCATTTCGTTTTCATACCGAGCGGCTTCTAATTGCATTTCAAGACTCCTAATTTGCTCCACGGCACCAATCCGAGTGGATTCGGCGTTCATCTGTGCTTGGGCAACGGCCTCCACAGCCTCCCTCCGAGACACTTCTGCGCTCAAACGCGCATCAACCACCGCTTGTGCGGCCTCCATTCTAACCCCAGCCACGGCACTAGCTGCTTCCGCTCTCATCTCCGATGATGCGGCTTGTGCTGCCAAGTTGCCGACAATGCTAGGATCCGGACCGTGAACATGCTGTTGGAATTGGACTGATCTTTGGTCAACATGAATAGCCCTGTGGTCTTGAAATACTTGGTGAACCGGTGAATCCCTAGCTTCATCACTCTGCATGTGAGAATCATGAGGTTCCAACAAATGAGCCCTAGATGCATCTTCCAATTGTAATGGACTGGACTGGGTGTTAGGTGAGAGTTGACTCATTTCTTGCAATTCTTGTTCCCGGGACATCTTTGGGGGTCTTTGGGGGTAAGGTGAATCCCTCCTAGCCCTTCTTGATTCCGAAGACGCACCACTACTTGATTCCCTGGAATTTCCAAGTGCAGGCAACCCTTGAACTCTTCCGGAACTACTTGACAAGTTGAAGCTAGTTTCAGTTGAATCTGCCATGAAAGATTCTCAACCAACCCCTCCCTCCCGCGCCGAGCGCTGGGTAAGTCAGGGCAAGTTTCCAGCCAGCACTGCCCAATTTACAGCACCACCCAGCAGCTCTCGAACGTCCGCGTCTGAAGCGTCGCCGAAAACCTCCCTTGCTCAATCCACTGAAGCGCAGACCGAAGCGAGTCAACTGGATAATGACGGTTGTGATGTCGTGCCCTAGTAACCCAATAAGTTTCGATGGTATTGTCACAACTGTCCAAACACTCAAGCGTGTCGTCAATATGAACCGCAGTCCCTACGTGATTCAATACCAAACCTTTCTTACGGGTATCCAAAATGCGAAGTCCAAGCCTTGAATTGAAATTGGGTTGATCCCGATTGAAGGCCCTAACCACTTCAGTGAGATGAGACCTCCTTGCCTGGGACCGATTCCCGAATTGACCAATGTAGCTTGTAACCCCAACACGAACACCCCGATCAACGTGTTTCCCAATGAAATCCCTCAACAACTGGACGTTGACAGGATGGATACCGTCCCTGAATTCAGCGTCCCCAGCTTGTTGAACGTTAAGCACTTTGTTGAAATCAATGGACACGCGATATTCTTGAATTGCCGGTGCCACACCAATGGTCTTTGCAACCGATGAAGGTGCCGACGCAGGTGGTTTTGGGATCTCCCTCACAACAGACTTTGGCATGCTAGCACTAGATTCAAAAGGTGGCTCCGCCGGCCTTTTCTTGGGCGGGACCCTGAACCCTTGACTAGATGAACTCGCAACCACGCTTGAAGCTTGGGGGATTCCAGGAACAACGGATGAAGCTACAAATGGAGCGACCGGCTTTGGGGGGTTCACCACCGGTTTTCCCAATTTCTCAGGAACTGCTTCCGACAACCTTGGCTTATCCCTTGGTTCAAAGTCTGGAAACTCAGGCTCCACTGCGACCTCTACAAACTCAGATGGTGTTCCAGCAACTTTTGGGGGCGTAACCGGGGCCACAACAGCTTTGGGTACAGCCCTCGCGGGTACGCTACGGATTTCTGACGTCACAACACTTTTGGGCAAACTACGAGTCTCGGATGTCACAACCGGTACAACAGAATCAGGTGCTGCCTTTGGTTCGTTCAAATTAAGAGCTTTACTGGCATCCCTTTCTGATACCCTACGCAACCTTTCCAAACCCGATGAAGACGACGGTGCTGACTTTGGAACGTGTTCACCTCTGATGGTAGCCTCAGCCAATTCCTTGGACTTCTTTGTTTTCTTACCACCCCTTTCACCCCTGGGCATTCACCACTCACCTTTTTAGCCAAGATTCAACTAGCTAAAGAGAGAAGCAGCTAATCGCAGAGTGAAGATCGAATGGAAGCAAATCAGCAACAGCAAAGGAATAGGCCTATGGCAAATAGAGAATGGACAGTTCGAGAGGATACGGCTGATGACCACGCGTTTGGCGGCTCAGCCTTGTTCCGACATCTTGAGCCAAATATGTAATGGACATGTTGTCCAACTTGGTGAAAATGACCCATTTGCATTTCGTTGTCTGGCACTGGGCTTTGGGACAGGTGGCAGGGTTTAATTTTTAAGTTTTTAAGTAGGTATTCCTTTTAAACAAGGGGGTGGATGCGGTAAGTTAGGAGCGAATGGGTTGAAGATAAGCACACTGCTTACCGCACCACTTGCCTTTTCTTCTTTTTTTAATAAGGCACAGTTTTGGGGATTAATTTATAACCCTTCAAGGTGTCCCATATATTTACTGGATCGATTGCCCAACTCACTTCTTCTTTTTAAAGTGAGTTGCCCTATCAAATCCAGAAACACTACATAATTGGGTTTTACCCCCCAGTGGATGGAGCCCAATTCACAGCATTATTTCAAATCCTGTTGATGAAGCGTGAATTGCCCTTTCCATCCCAATCCACAAAATGGGATAAACCACTGGCATAAAAATCTATGAGACAACTGGCATAAAAAATCTATGAGACAACTGGCATAAAAATCTATGATACATCTAATTAAAGCACACAACATTTACAGCAGTCATAATTTCCTGAACCAATGCTTGAGGTATTCTATACAAATCCTTCTGTTTAAACAAGGTGTAATTTTCTTTCCAAAATTCCTTTTTCCCACTAGGTGCTCTTTGCGCTGTTTCCTTATGCCTATTCCCATCCATCATTCCACAATCTTTTTTACAGAGAGGTCTAGGTGTCCAAGTCTTTAGATTACACCAAAGCCTAGTGCGTTTCCTGTATGACATCCCATATTTACAATAATCCACATCAAAGAATGGCAAACCCTCCATAAATGGTTGCTTCTTCAAAAGCCCCGACTGGGGATTTTCTATGAACCAAATGCGCGGGTTAAAGTATTTGATTATCTCAAGCGCTTTCAAAACGATGGCATTAGCCTCATCAATTTTTCGCGTTCCAACCGTTTTCGCAATGCTATACTCAATACAAGGGGGTGAAGCCCAATTCATATCGTAGTATTTCACAGGATATTTTTTGTATTTCCATTGTAGTATGTCGCAGTTTACAGTATATCAGCCCCTTTCAAATCTAATGACACAACATCCCAGCCCATATCTTTTGCGACAGTTCCCACACTAGCAGTTCCAGAAAACAGTTCTAACAATTTCATATTTATATATACCTATATAAATATAAAATTTCATCTATTCACCCATCACTTTGAAGACTTCACCGTCTTTTTCAATTCTATAAAACTCAAGTGTCTGTGCCTTTGGCATTTTTATCTTGCCTTCATTCAGCATTTTTAGATACTGCTGTTGCTTACTTTCAAAAGTGTCTACAGGTCTCCCGATTTTTTTTGTCTCAAAGATTTTATCTATCCTTTCTTTCTCAGCATCAGTATCATTATCTTCAGCAGGTTTATTTTTCACTAATACATCAAGTTGTTCTATTGCTTTGTTCATTAAGTCCATCAAAGCTTTTACATTCTTGTTATACCTAGTCATTTTGTTCAGCATCTCTGCCATTACAGGTTGTTTATCATCTAAATCACTCATTTCTATATATTAGTTATTTAGATATTTGTTTATTTATTTAGCAGTTGAAACTGCGTTAAAATCACTCTTTAAATGTGGTTCAATCCATATCATGTATTGCCATTTGTTGTTTGCCACTACTACTGCCACTTCTGGGTGTGTTCATTACATCACTTATCATCTTGTTTGTGCTCTCGGGTTTCTTGTCTTCTGGGGTGACTTGTCTGTTCCAAGAAAAACTGATGCTATGGTCTTCACTATCTAGTTTAATGTCACCGTTGTCATCACGAGATATATTCATTGTTTTGTCATTTCTACTGAGTTTAAAACTACAAGGGTTACAAGAACATTTTATTCCCTTGGGGTTGATTTCAAATTCATTTCTCAATTGTAATTTACAATGACACAGTGGGCAATCAAAGGTGATAAATTTGCTTGTTAGTTTTTGCTCCTCATCCAGATTTATTGTAGTGGGTTCTTCATCTGATAGTTCAAAATCTTCAGGTATTGGTTGCTTCTTGATTTTACTACTCATCTTTGGTTTTACTTTCTTTGGTGGCATCTATATAATACTTAAGATAATTTATAACTACCTTCAGAGACTCCAGCATTACCCTGAATATCTGTTTAAGTTTAGTACCTTTTACAGTTACAATTGGAAATTTAGTATCATCAATGACACTATCTTCAATCACATCTATTGTATTGATATAACTATCAAAAACTTCACAACTGCTCATCGTATATAATTAGATGATATATTTTACTACTATCTAATTATATATGGATTTTTAGGCGCAAACAAAAATCCATAAGTGGCGGTAAATGTCAAAGAAAATGAACTGTGCTGATTGAAACATAGCATCAAACAAATTCTTGAGCAAAAAGGCTTCAAATCTTCTACTGCTTGTTGTTATGGCAAAAAGAGACCGTGTCGAGGGTGAAAAAGAATAGAGCCCAAGGGGTGGATTGTTTATTCTTAATTAACATTCTTATGATGGGTATATGGCACTCTGTTCCAGATTTCACCTGACCCCAATACTCAAAGGCAAAATAAGATATGCCATTTACAAGATATAATTTATTTTATTTTCTAAATAATTTATATTATGTCAAAACTTGATGTTCCCAAGATTGAACCTATCAATGTAAAACAGTATGAATTCAAACAATCACCATACCCACAAGCAGACAAACTACCATTCAGAAGCATCATTGTATCGGCATCACAGGGCGGAAAGGGTATATTAATTCAGAACCTCATTTCTAAAAATCTACAGGGGATGCTTTGAGAGAATATACATTGTATCACCGACAGCACACATAGATGAAGCATACAAAGAAGTAATCCGTTATATAGAGAAAGAACTAAAAATAGACAACAAGAAAGAGCAATATTTGTTTGATGAGTATGACCCTGAAAGTCTAGCACACATCATAGACACACAGCATAAAGTGATAGAATACCAGAAGAAAAACAAGATGAACAAGTTATACAGTTGTTTGTTAGTAGTTGGTGATTTCGCAGAAGATAAGACATTTATGAGATATAGTAAAATCCTTCACGGCTTTTACACAAAATCAAGACATTTTGGATTATCAGTCATAACTGCCACACAGAAGTATAACGCTTTAAGTCCTATAGTCAGGTTAAATTCAAGTAGCCTTTACATCTTCAAACTGAAAAATCAGTCAGAACTTGACACATTCATTCAAGAGCAGTCAGCCCTGATTGATAAGAAAACCATAAATGAAATATACAGAGTAGCCACTGAAGAACCCTACTCATTTCTATTTGTAAAGTTGAGAGAGAGTGATGTAAATAAAATCTTTATGAAAAGATTTGAAGCCGAGATATACATTAAATAACATTATATATTTAAATAATGTTATTAAATTAGACTGTATGAACACAAATTAATAGCAGGTAGTTTATACATAATCTTATCAGATTTTTCCTTATACATTTTTTCAATTTTGCTATTGATTTCTTTTAAGGCTTTTATTTGTAATTTATCTATCCTACTAATATCTGACTCTTCTTCATTAATTTTACTCAATTCTTGAATACAACCGTTCTCTACTGTAGATTGTTTATTTCCCATATTTATAGGTATATATTTTAATTTTCTTTGCTTTTTGCTTTAGCCTTTGCTTTTGCTTTACCTTTACCTTTCAATTTTTTTATCTCCTCCATCATTTCAAACATAGAACTTTCTAACCACTCAATCTTTTGTTGTTGCTCCCTCACAGCACCCCATAGAATAGAATTCATCTTGACATAACTTAATTTCTTAATACCATCCACTTTCACAAGTATATTTTCAACTTTTTCTGGTATATTTTCTTCTACCTCCTCTGCTATAAAACCTATATGAGTTTTAGTTATTCCCATTTCTTTTTCTTCTTTCATTTTGAAAGTATGAGGTTTAATGCTATTTACTATTTTTGTAAAATTGAAGTCTGCTTCTTCAATATTATATTTCATATCTTTTTGCGATGTATCCACTAAATCACCTTCTAATGTATAAGGTGCTGGAACAGAAACTTTTGATGGCGTGACGAAAAGTCTTATGCCACCATTAGCATAAAATCTTATATCCCCGTTAGGGTCTTCATTGATTAACTTGAAATGATTAACACCTGCTGTATTTTCATTAACTATATAACTATTCTTGCTTGTTTCTTTATGAAAATATGCCCTTTTGTCTTGATTGACATATATATCTTTTGAAAAATTACTTTACTTCGTGTGATCCCCACCATGACATTTATACATTTTGTTACTGGCAAATCTTCTGGCATTCTATCTGACATATTTTCTGGCATTCGATCTGGCATTCTATCTGGCATATCTTCTGGCATTCTACCTGGCATATCTTTTGGCAGATGTTCTGGCATATCTTCTGGCAGATTTTCTGGCATATCTTCTGGCATATCTTCTGGCATATGTTCTGGCATATCTTCTGGCATTCCATCTGGCATTCTATCTGGCATATCTTCTGGCATTTTATCTGGCAAATCTCGTGGCATTCCATCTGGCATTCTATCTAGCATATCTTCTGGCATATTATCTGGCAAATCTGCTGGCATTCTATCTGGCAAACATTCTGGCACTTTATCTGGCATATCTTCTGGCATTCTATCTGACATTCTTTCTGGCATTCTATCTGGCATACCTTCTGGCATTCTATCTGGCATATCTTCTACCATTCTATCTGGCATATCTTCTGGCACTCTATGTGGCATATCTTTTGGCGTGGATACTCGCGGTTGAGGT